CCTGAATCCAGAGGGAGACAGAACATGAGGTCACACAGAAAAGAGCCAGTTCCTTTAGGGTACATCCTGAAAATTCTGTTTTCTGGCCTCAGGATTTCAGTGCTTATCATCTTCATTGTATATTCTTGCTATGGTTTAGCTCTTACATGATCCCAAAGCCTACCATGTCTGGAAGATGGTTGGATTATGGGAATGTCATGGCTGACTTGCTGTTCGGTGGGGTCTGGTTGAAAGAAGTGAGTCACTGTAGGGTGGGACCTGTACAGATTTATCCCCCTTCCTGGCTCCTCCCTTCTCTCTCTCAATCTCTCTGCTTCCTGTCGACCATGACTAGAGCAGCTCTCCTTCACCCAGGCCCTTCCACCATGTTGCCTGCCTTGGAGCCATGAGCCATGGACTGAACCCTCCACAAACTGAGACCCAAAGTAAACCTCTCCTTCAACTTGTGTCAGGTATTTTGTCCCAGGAAATAGGAAAATAACTGAGACAATTCTTTTTCCTGACATCACTGGGAGTGGTGGTCCAAAGAAGAGCAATTTTATTAGACCTTAGGCTTCAAAGGGCCTCAGTTTCTTACTGAGACTTTTCAAAAGCATTCTGAGTCTGACTGAAAACCACCAAGAAACTTTTTGGTTATGTGCAGGAGTGAGAGCAGAGCAAAGCCATTGGGCATATTTCTGAAGCCAAAATGGAGTAAAAAAGAAGGAAACGTTCAAGGGGAAAGGTTTTGAAATTTATGTGAAGATAATACATAGTTATTTCAACAATAGATTAATGCACACGCTGCACTTGCTAATGCCCCTCTACCCTGCTGTCCAGTGAACTCGGTCGCGGTGCCAGATTGTCCATCCAACTTCATCTGATAGCAAACACCATAGGGAGATTTTCATTGTCCAGTAAACTTGGGGGTGAGCCTCATTCAGCATTAGTTTCCAATCAAACTCATTATCTCCCTTCTCAGTTTGGCACAGAGTAGGGGCATTTACAAACGTCCATGTTGTCCCAGCACCCTATAATGCTGTTACAATGACAATTTTATTAGGTCTATAAAAATTTTGCAACTTCCCCGCAGCCCACTGTAGTTTCACCAGCAGTCATAAAAGATCTTAAATTATATTTGTGCAAAATTGAGATGAATGAGCTCAAGCATTTATGCACTTTTCACTGTGTAACAGGGACTTTTTCTTCCCCCTGTCTCTGCCAAGTGCACAGAGAAAGCTCTCCCATTCAACTATTTGTCAACTCCCATTAGAAACATTTAATGCTAATAAAATTTATGGATTCAGTTTCCAAAGGATACTGCCAGAAGACTTCAAGATTACCACATCAGTACTTAAATACACCCATTGTTCACCTTATAAAAATCTATAGGCGGCCTGACAAGTATAAAATGTAGCTTTGTGTGCTGAGTCAGCACCAGAGACTTTTTTGGTTGAAGTGGAGTTCATGAAATAAAAGTAAATGTGTTCTCAAGTCAGTGAGGAAAGATTGATCTGAAAACATTCCCCCATAAATACAGAACTGACGGGCTGTGATGCTATATGCACATTCTCCACAGGAAAAAAAATAAAGCGTGATTCCATCTACTCCATAGGTAGTAATCAGGCTAATTCGTTTCAAAGGCTTCATACACCAGGACTCATAAAGGAACATTATGATCGTGCGGGTCACACATTTTAGACAGAGAGCTGTCTTTCAGGTAGGAAGTCCCTGGCATGCCTCCTGTACTGCATTTCTAGACGCGGTGACGGGTCCGCTTGTGTGCGCTGTCACACTGGCATGGCTTGGACCTAGTTCTCAGCTAACTGTCTCAGCCACAACTAACTGTCTCAGCTTCTAAGCACCTCACAGTTGAGGTGCGATAAATAAAACTACAAGAATGTTTATTTTTTAAATATATTACATTAAGAGCCACATTGTCATTAATCATCCCCAGCATCTTTCCCTCTCTTCAAACACACCTCTCCCATCATTCTTGCCACTGTCTGAAGCAGTTCTGGAGTCCTCTTTCTCCAGGGTCTTTCGTTGTGCTGTCCTGGCTACCTGAATGGATTGATTCAAACTGTTTACCCTGCACAGCCATGTAGACTTCAGGGATGAGCCAGAAGCTGAACAGTGCCACATGGGGTGGGTATGGTAGGCAGGACTCACTGTCACGCTTTCAGGAGCCTGACTTTGTTGAGTGGCACACAGCAGCAGCACACACTGTATTTTTTATCACACCTTATGAAGACACTCCTAAGAGAGGACTTCAGGCTGCTTCAGAAAGTAGCAAGAATGATAGGATAAGTAGATTCAGAGCCCCAGGAAACATTTTGAAGGTGATTAATGGTGCTGTGCCTTTTACAGTAATAAATTTAATTAAAGCATTCACTGTGTATTTTGCTCATACCTTCTGCGTCAGTCACTTTGCTCAGGGTACAAGCTCTTCCCTTTATGTGGTTCTGTCTTCAGCTTACCCAAAAATGTTGTGCGGATGGTAGGTGTTTACCACCTATTTGCTGGACTAGCACATTATAAAAATAAATAAGGGGCTGGGGATTTAGCTCAGTGGTTCTGGTGCCTGCCTCGCAAGCACAAGGTCCCTAGTTCAATCCCCAGTACCAGAAACAAGCAAACAAACAAACAAACAAACAAATAAATAAATAAATAAAAGTAAATGAAGTATCTGTCACTCGGAGCCAAAGAACCCATAACCTGGGGAGCTAATTCGCGTATAGGAAATAGCACCATGAGAGCAGGGAGTCCCACTATGGACTCATCAGGAGTATCAGCCAGCAGTAAGCTGGGCGGCCAGGGTCTCGGCCAGGGTCCCTGCCCTGTCCCTCTAATCCCTGCAGGCAGGTGCTTCCCATGGGGTGCATTTATGGCGTCTTCAGAGGATCCACTTTCTGGTCTTCAACTTCTACACTTGCTCCTCTGAAAACCCACCTTCTGGACAGCGGGCGCTAGTGTGGGTGCCCCCGGCCTCTGCAGAGGACACTGACCCCCACCCTGGGTGACGCCATGGTGCTGTCCGGAGGCGGGGTTTCCAGGCTCTGCTCTCAAAGAGCCCAAGGGACACTGGCATCAGTGAGGGGTCTGTGCCAGGAGGGCAGCCTGCCTGGGAGGGCTCTCAGTGTCCACAGCATCAAGGGCAAGGCAGAGAAGCATTGTGCGGTGGGATTGGAGACAGGTGCCGTTCCACACTAGTACAGCCGGGACACTTCAGGGTCCAGAACAGGCGGGTAGCAGTTTTTATGTAATGGCCTTGTCTTTTCCATCCTCCTGCTATTTTCAAAGCCAAGCCAACCTGGTCCTGAGGGAAACGCTCTGAGCTCCAAGCGAGCAGGTTCTTGGGGAGAAGATCCTGCAACCACGGCTCCTTCCTGTGTCCGGAGGAGCCCACGGGCAGCCTCGCCGCCTCAGCTGCTGGCCTGACAGCTCAGATGCGCACAGGAGGTCCCCACAGGAAGTGAGCTTTCCCAGTCACCTTGGAAAATGTCACAAAGAAACGGACTGCGTATGAGACTCAGAGGTTTTGATAACAATAGGCATAAATGTGTGATGAGATGAAATAATTTCATCTGAAAATATTGTATGGGTATGTTAGTTACTTTTCTCTCATTGCTGGGATGAAATATCCGACACCCAGAGTTAAAAGTGAAGGGGTTTATTTGGCTTACAGTTCATAGAGGTTTAGTCCATAATCAGCTGGCTCCAAGGCTGGGATGGCAAACAGGTATCTCAGAGGAACACAGGAGAAAGGCAGCAAGAGAGTTAACAGTGTCTCCCTGCCCCTTTTATCTTATCCAGAATACTTAGGGCACGAAGCACTCACACCCTTAATCCTAGTGCCCTTGAGCCTAGCATTGCATCATGAATCAATTCCAGCTTCACATATTCTAGCTCAAGCCCATGACCACATGAGGCCTTGAGGCAACATCCAGACTCAAACCATAACAATGGGGGAAAGGTAGCATTTAAATTCACATTATTTTTATTTCTCTAACATCTAAATATATTGGGTCTTACTGGGGCCTGACATCAAGAGCAACAGGCATAATTAATAGCTGTTCTCTAGCTATTGTCAAAACTTTTCTGAGAGGAGATAAACTTATAAAAAACCAAAAAAATGAAGAAAGGCCTAACAGCCATCAGATAAATTTTTAAAACAATTTTGCTGATAGATCTATGTGATGTTAATTTCCATCTAATTTATTATGTGAGCAAGATATCTCAGTGTACATCTATTAAAGTGACAGACTTAGAATTCATTATGAAGTTTGTTTCACTCTGGCAATAAAGAGAATTAATTGAAAATCTAAAAGTTCCTGTCTCATTAAAATATGTAACTCCTGCAAAATTTTGTAATATTGTGACATAGTGATACAATTATAAAATTGTGATTTAATTATGTTACTTTGATTAATTGTACGCTAATGATTGTGTTGATTGAATGATAATAATTCAAGCAGACATTCTTTCCAATATTTAGCCTTAAGGTCACAGAAAATAAAACTTAAGATTTTTTGAATGTAAAATGTTGCCAATAAGACTGAGAGGATATTCAATAAATTATTTTCAGCCATAAAAATATTTTTAAATTAAGACAAAAGTACATGAAGAACGTTGAATGAAAATGTAAGTTCAAAGGAGAAAAGAATCAAGGTAAAATTTTCAACTGTCATAATAGGGCTTATTTATGTATTTTAAAATAGATATGTGGCATCAAACTAGTATGATATATGACATTCCACAGGATATATTTTAAAGTGATGTAATCGTTTTATTTTAAGCTGCCAATATTTGCAATAGACAAGCAATTTCCTTAGATTGCTTACCTTAAGTGAAACTTCACATCCATATAAAAGTAAGCAAAAGCTATAGTTTTTCAATGGTCATTCAGAAAAATAACTAAAAATGTTTGAAGTCCACTAATTTCAATCTGACGCTTGTGCTCAGAAAACATGCAATCTGGTGGGAGAAGGGGAGGGAGAGAAAAGTCAGTGAATAAGGAATACGCTCGGCATTCTAGCTTTAATTTCCGTTTTCTCTCAGGTATGAAAGTGCACATCAAATAACAAACTCTGGTCGGTTCACTCAACAGCATTTCACTCCGCCACGCCAGGCGCTAGAGTGTGAAAGTCAAGGGGACCCCCAGCCCCGAGCTCAGTCCAGCCCAGCGCCCAGCAGAGGGTTCGGGGCGTGGCCTGGGGCCCGCAGACATCGCCCGGGACTCCCGTGCCGGCCGAGGGGACACAGACAGTGGGCTCTGGTCTTCGAGGGACCAAGAGGACCCGAGCTCCCAGTGGCAGAAAAGAGCATGCGGTCAGCCGTGGCCGGGGAGGGAGAGTGGAGTCGTTGCCTAGAGGGTCTGGATTTCCACTTTGGGAAGAAGAGAAAGTCCTGGGATGGTGACGGTTGTACGATGCCACTGAACTGAAAAATGGCGGGCCATGCGTGGCGGCGCACTCCTGTGATCCCAGCACTCGGGGAGGCCGAGACAGGAAGATCAGAAGTTTAGGCCCAGCCTGGGCAACTCAGCGACTGTAGCAAAATAAAAATAAAGAAGGGTTGAGGATGCAGCTCAGTGCAAAGGCCCTGGGTTCAATGCCCAGTACCACCAAAACAAAACAAAACAAAACGAAAAAGGTAAAATGGTAAATTTTGTGTCATGCGTAATTACCACAATAGGAAAAATAATAAAAGTGATCCAGCTACTTAACTATACATTCTTTTTTAAATATATCTTTAAGCCCCTACTACACTCTGGCACTACACTACTTACACATAAAGAATAAAGTAAGAAAAATTCCTGCCTTTCAGAACCCCTTAGACTGGCTGGGTGTAAACGCAGAATCCACAGTCAGGGAGTAGGAATTCTTTTTAATTTGGGAGCAAACACATAAATCAAATCTCTGATCTAAGCCTAAGCCCTAATTACTCATTTTAAGCAAATTAGCTAAAGCACCAATAAAGGCAAACTTCACGGTGAGGGATTTTTACTTACCTACATCTTCTAAAAAGGAGAAATTGGTCAGGAAACTGGAATCCTCAGACCAGCACCTGCTTCTGGAGCTGCAGAAGGAATGCAGTAAGCTGTCTTTAAGTGATTGCTAATGACTCTCACGCCATCTGTCCTCAGATGGTGGCTAACGTCAAGCCAAAAGTGAAACGTACAAACTTAGCCCATTTAACTCAGATCAAACGAGCTGGGCAGCAGCCAAGGCCGCTCTGCTTCTGCTCCGTGGAGACGGGAGTCCCTGGTGCCTCATCTGTTCCACATTTGTGGGAAGCACATGGCTCACGAGCTGTTCTCACCATGTGGGCAGACGGCAGAGAGCCCTGGGTTTCGCTCTAGATCCCTGAACATGTGGTAAGAGGGAAAGCCTGCCCAGTTCTCTTTTTTAAAAAACCAAACTTTTTAAACAGTGCATTTTGAGTTAACTATAGCAGGCAGCTGCCTTGGAGCCGCAGGCAGGGAGCGGGCTGGGGAAGGGAGACAGCAGGGCAGACGCTTCTCAACCAGAGGCTCAGAGGCCCCGCTCTGTGCTTTAATAGCTCCTTCCCGCTGAAGCCAAGGCTCACAAGGTGGAAATCTCCTGGCCAGCCCCTCTCCAGGCATCAGGGAGAGCAGAGCAGAGAAGAGCAGAGCAGGAGCCTCTGCTGTGTGGCCCGGGGCGGACTCTCCTCGCCTCAAGTCTCCTGTGGTTGGGGAGGCTGCTCCTCCACGCTGTGGCTGGGAGCCTGCTGGGAAACTCAGGATGTCAGTGGGGGAAGGTCAAGGTCCCTGGTGCAGCTGAGACCTGTCCAGCCCCTGGATGGTGGCTCAGGGGAGAAGTGCTCAGCCACCCCAAGACCTGCAGCCAGGACCACTGGGACCAGGGGTAGCAGGGGAGACACGGCTGCCAGCACCCACACATCTGCAGGGAGAAGAACAGCCCACTTCCCGGGAGGAGGCAGGCGCTGCCAGCCGTTCAAGCCCTTCTGCAGGAGGAGCCGCTAGGAAAACAGACCGAAGGATAATGGGGCCTTGAGGCTGGGGTACAGGAAAGTACAACTGACCAAATTTAGAAATAATAGAGACTTCCTTCTATTTTTTTGATTATCAATGGCTTACTCTGATTTTTTTTCCTTCTCAATATTCTGCACAGTAAATCAAAGCCCACATGACCTCCCTTTCTCCTGCTGTAATTTACAGAGAGGCAGCCCAGCCAGAAAACAAACAGCAGTAATTCAGATTCCAAAGGACCCAATAGGATCGAGTTTCCAGCCCAGAGTTGTGAACAGCATTTATCCAGTCATGTATTTTTCAGTCTGTGATGTGTGTGTATGTCCACGAATGTGGCAAAGACAGTAGAAAAAGAGGGAAAAAGAAATAGTAATTTCAATTATCTGAAGAGAAGTCTTTTATGCACTATATAAATGGTTCCTGAATGCCACAAAGCTTGCTCAGGGCTCACAAAGGAGAAAGGAGAAAGGGAAAATAAAATGCAAAAAAATGAAGGGGAGAGAGAGAACAAAAAGGAAGAAATGAAGAGAGAGGAAGGAAGGAAGGAAGGAAGGAAGGAAAGAGGGAGGGAGGGAGGAGGGGAAAGGAGAAATAAAGGGAAAGACAGGGGGAGGAGGAGGACAGAGAGAGAACAGAAACAGGCCCAGGCTGCCGTGCAAACCGCTGCTTGAGAGACTGTGTAGAGGCCCGAGCTAGGGAGTAAGCGTGTTTCCGCATGTGAATGCCAATATATTATTGACTTACACTGAGTCATAAACATGACAATTTGCCTCATTTCAAGCGAGGTCAGGCTCAGCCCAAAGAAGCAGCCCTCCTCCCCTGCTTACCTAATGTCCCTGAATATGAGCCTTCCCCGAAGCTCTCAGTGCGGATAACATAACGCCATGTGCGCCATGGCGGCAGGAGGAGGCATCAGAGAGGTGACAGATAGCAAGCTGTGAACACAAAGATACTTTTAAACCCAATGCTTGTACATGATATATAGAGCAGAGGACCGTTCATCATCGTTATTGAAACTGTGACCAGCAAAGCTATAAACCTGACACGGAAGAAGAGAAAATATGACTTGTTAGGTTGAAAAAGTACCAGAGAGGGACTTATAAAAGGGAAAATTTCATGACAAATTAGTTTGTATTTTTGTTTTCATTTCTGACACATGGAAGGAAATGCTATATGTTTGCTTAAGGAAGTGAAAATTTCTCCACTTCATCCATTTAAAATCCTCACCCTTAGGCCTTTTGTATCGAAGCATAAAATTTGGAGTCCTTAAATAGTCATAATGTTTCCCTGAAGAATTTGGCCTCCGAAACATATTACAGTTCAGAGGGGCTGAAAAGGAAAACCATTTTGCAGCAATCCAGTGGTGTCTGCCCAGACGGCCCAGGGCAGCCCCAATTGGCTCTCATGGTTTCTTTACCATATTTGATGAAATATTAGATGCAATTGGAACAAGCGGTTCAGGCAAGAAAGCCATAAACTTGGGAACAGCATTGTAAAATGAAAGTGCGTGGACATGAAATAAGTTTCGGATTTGAAAACAGCCCAGTGGCTGCACAGTAAACTACCAGAAGGTGACAGAGGCTGAGGGCAGTGCTGCTGTCCCTCACACTCCCCCAACAAGGGTTTGTGCTGAGCTCCGGGGAGCAGGTAGAGCACAGCGAGTAGACAGGAACTCCGGTGTGAGAAGAAGCCCTGAAAACCCCCTTTTACATGTTCAGTGGAGGGACAGAGGGAAGACAGGAGGAGGAAAATCCCTCCATCTCAGCACATTCAGAGTTGCAGTAGCGAGAGCCAGACATGTCTGCAAAGAGCTTGCGGTTGCCATTTCAATCTGTTTTTTAAAGATCAGTTCTCCCCAAATTGACCTACAGAATTTATAGAATTCTGCAATCTCTGTCAAAACTCAACCAACTCTTTAAATTGAATAATGATTTTCCAGTGCAGCTGAAAGGATGAATGTGCAGAAATAGCAAGGAGATTTCTGAGGAGGAAGACTGATGCGGTGGGTCCTTAGCTGCCTTAGTCCCTTTTGTGTGGCCCTGGCAGCGCACTTAAGATGAGGTGCTCTGTAAGGAAAGCAAGTTTAGGTCGGCCTGTGGCTTTGGAGGCTGAGACACCAACACTGGGCAGCTGCATCCGGTAGGGGCCTCGTACTGCGTCATCTCGTGTGGTGACGAAACGTGGGTGACAGTGAGCAGCACGTGTGGCAGAGACTGAGCCCGTGGGGTGGCTCTGCTCCAGGGCAGGACCCCTGCACAGTAGCTGGCCCACTGCTGCCAGGGAGCATGGTGCGTGGGCCTTACCACCTCCCAGGAAACCCACCTCCTAGATGGCTACCTCCTCTGGGACTTCAGTCTTGGGGACCAAGCTTCCAGTGCGTAGACCTCTAGGGGACAGCTGGATCCAAAGTGTAGCGTCACCTAGAGCGTCACTTTACCTAAACAGCCTGAACTTAAGGAGGGGAACTGGTACAGAGCACGGGCAAGTGGCCTCACCAGAAATGCCGGAGACATGAAGTGGTGCAGGCTCCACTCTTTTTGACATTTGGAAGATTTGCAGACAGGTAATGCAATGTCTTAGGGATGAGACCCACGTCTAAAGATAGAATTCATTTGTGTTTCCTATACATCTTATATCCTCTGCATCCTGGAGGTGATTTTATACAATATTTTTAGTGTGCCAGTGTTTGGTCCATGACATATCACATGGGGACAGGCATGGAAGTTTTCAATAGAGAATCATACTTCTGGAGCACTTCTGAGCTTAGCTTTTTCCATTAGAGATGCTCAATTTGTACCACAAATACAGGTAAATTTAGTACAGATCGAAGTTGGGATTTCAAACCAATACAAGGGTAGATTGGCAAAGTACAAACAAAGAGCACAATACAGGGAGGATAGAAGGAGACAAGGGAATGGATCTCCTACAAATGGAAAGAGGTCCAGGACACTAAGGGCAAGGGGAATGGGGAGGGGAAGGGGAAAGAAGTAGATGAAGATGTGCCATGGGAAGGACCTCATACCCTCAGTGAATGCAACACTATGTGCCATAAACAGGAGCTAAGATTGATACCATCAACAAGAATGAAAATGGGGAAGGGGGATTTGGAGGACGATGGAGGGAGGGGGTGGGAAGAGGAAGGGATTAAAAAAAGAAACGAGCTGGATTATGAATATGTACTCACTCCCCAAGATGACTGTAAGCTGCTTATGCTGCAAAGAAGTACTAATAAGAAAAAGAAAACCACATGTTTCAGAGCAAAAATTTTTAAAAATTCCAAATAAGAAAAAGATAGCCTGTAGTTAATATAATGTTGGAACAACCTGTTAGTCATTTATAAAATTTATTAAGCTGCATGCCTACTCACTCCTGATTCCAATATAAATTTTAAATGAATCATTTTATGTGTATAAGATGCAAACATAAAAGCACTAGAAAAATACAGATGATTACATCCACAATTCTGTGACAGAATTGTTTTAGACATGACAGAAAATACAACACAATTTTACTGCACAAAAATAAGAGGAGATACTGGGCCAAAAACAAATCTTAACAAAGTCAAATACCAAACACAATATTTTTAAAATATTGCATTTTTAAATATGTATTTAAAAATTACACTTGTGTGAATAAATTAATGTTTCATTAACATACCTAATATGCAAAAAGCTCTCCTAAATCAATGAAAGGACTCCTCCCACCTGTAGAAAATGTCCTAGAAATATAGAGAGACAATGAGCAGAAGATATTCAAATCAACAATATAATTAACAGAAGTATTAAATCTCACTAAAAGTAAATAAATGCAAATAGAGACCGGGAAGACATCATTTTTCCCAATACAATTAGCTACGAATTTTTTAAACAACTAGAACACAGAGAAGCTCCCACTTGGTCTTCCAAGTCCCTTCTTACCGTCTACACAGGATTCAGCAAGTGCAGCTCCTCTCTTGTCATTCTTTGGATGAAATCGTCAATTTGCACCCTAACCCACACAATTCCAGGACCTGGAGCCTGACTGCTTAGACCTAGGGCCTGGTTCTGCCTCTGAGTCCTTTGTGAAGTTGAGTGATTTATCTGACCCTTTTGTGCTTGAGTCTTTCATTTGTGAAGGTAGGGTGACAGCAGTCGTAGCTAGTGGATTAATGCATGATACATGCTCAGAACAACAGCTGGCTAAACACTTAGCAGGTACCAGCCACGAGGAAGATGTTACTGATGCTGGCACCCTCCTCTGCGGAGACTCTTCCCTGGGCACCCCTCACACTCAGAATAAAATGCAAAGTGTTTTCTGTAGCCTCCAAGGCACTGGTAGACCTGCCTGGTTCCTGCCTCTCTGCAACCTAATGTCTGTACCTCCTCTGCTCGGGTGTGGATACATTAGCATGCACCTCACTCACCTCTGAGACAGTCTTTTGCCGTTTGCTTTTTACTTACCTGGACCACTCTTTCTTACAGTCATGAGTCTCATTGCCGCACTCATTCAGGTAACTGCCCAGCTCCTCAGCTCTCGTGGGCTTCCCTGACCGCTCTGTCTAAAGCAGTCCCTGTCTCTACCCCTAACCACCACCTTTGCTCTTATACATGATAGATTAAAACATAAATTAATCCCACTTTCCAGAGAGCAATTTAGGTGTATATGTAACGAGAGTTGCATTGCTCCTGCAATCTCACCTGCAGTCAAATACAGTAAGAAAACAATCCAATGAGTATGACATTTATGCAAAGGTTTTTCATCAATGCATGTCTATAATAAAGAAAACTCATAAACAATCTAAAATGTCATCCACAGATAAATCAATTGTCAATTTTCTATAAAACGTCACATCAAAACTTAGTGATTTTAACAGTAACCATTTACATAGCCAGTGAGTCTGTGTGCTTGTCACTTTGAACAGGGCTCAGCTGGGTGGTTCTTCTGGTTTGGCCCAGCCTTACTCATGTATCTACAGTAAGCTGACGCTGCAGCTTGACAGGATTTCTACTTCCTTCTTTGAGCTAAAGCACCAACCCTCTACCCCTGCCCACAATTCAAAAGGTGGAGAAATAAGCTTTACTTCTTCATGGCCAGGGCAGCAAAATCACATTGAAAAAATCATGGATATAAGAAGGGGTATAAACTGTAGCCTTTCACAATCTACCAAAATGAAGAACTGATAGAATAAATTGCAGTAGTGATCACAATAGACTATTCCTCAGCTATTAAAATGGTGGTATTGACTTATATTTACTGATTTAAAAAGATGCTTCCGCCAATCTTAATAAAGCATATTATAGAACTTCTGTTTACTGCCTTTATACAAGCACATTTATGCACATACAAGATACTGGGAAGGATGTTTTCCAAAACACTAAGAGTGCCCAGCTCGCAGTAGCAGACTCTGTCCTTCCTCCCTCCGTCCCTTCTTTATTTCTTCCCTTTCTTTCTTCTCCTTCCTTTCTGCTTTTTCCTTCCTTCCTCTTCCTTCCTTCCTCCTTCCTTCCTTCATTCCTGACCTCTTAGCACTCCTCAGCATGAGATGACTAGACTGTGCCCTTCACGCCTCTTCCTGCTGCAGGTTAGTGTAGATGTCCTCTTCTGCAGCCTCAGATGAGCATGCACATCAGCAGAAACTGCCCAGCATCATTCAGTTTTCTGCTTGCATCAAAACAGCATAAGCTCAGAAGCCAGGGATGGGAAAACGGTCTCCATCTCTTGGTAGGAGTAGGTGCAAAGCCACACTTCGAAGGATGCAGATGGAGAATTGGCCATTCATGTGATCAGTTGCCAAAAGGATGGAGTGCTGGTCTAGTTTGAAGGAAAGGGTCTGGCATTTTGTCTTCAAGCTGTATTTGCATCGCAGACACACTGACTTTTCTTGGACTTTTTGTTGACTTGTGGTTTAGGGAGGCTAATGTGTATTATATAAGGCAAAGCACCCCCAACTGCCACCGTTTGACATCTATGTCTGCTCAAAATGTTACTATAAGAAGAAAGTGAGACAAACTTTAAAATGCTCTGAAAGTGTTAAAGGCACGTACCAATGACTCTGCCCCTTTCCCCTCCCGCTGCATATTCAGTCAGTGCTAAAATCATGTCAATTTCAGAGCAAGCCCAACATGATTTGCTAGATAAAGCTGTTGCTGCAGCACAAAACCACCATCCCACAATGTCTTCCAAAGCCAAATGCTAATTGCTGTGGGGAAATTAGCAGCATTAGTGTGGATGGTTGAAATTGAGCTGCGTTCTCATTATTCCTTCTAATGCTGGCAACTTATGCCTATGGAAGGGCTTGGTGGTATTTAGAAATCAGAGAAATTACATCCAACTGTTGCTCTTATTCTCATGAGCCTTTGCCTGCAGGGATTCCGAGGTGAGTCATTGCTCCTTGAAATGCATCCAGTTGCTGAGCAGCTGTGAACCGTAGGAGTCGTAGGAGTTGATGCTCCTTAATATTGAGGTGAAAGAGTCACCGAGCCCCACCCTTTGGAAACTACTTTGGCTACAACTCTCTTGCAAAGTTCAGGACCTCCAGGATGGGGCCCACAGCCTTTAATTAATCTGTTTGCCTCTGTAGCTCCTGTGGTCCCTGAGTACGCCTCCGACACATAGCAACAACCTTTTTATTGACCCAGCCTTTCTGTCTGAGTAACAAGTCATATTTTTAGTTGCCTTACCCAAACCAGCTGTGGGAAAATAAAGCCTAGCAAGAATCTCACTGGGGAGATTTCTCCCCAGGAAATGTAGAGATGCTTTACCAAGACCTCCTAAGATGTAAAATGCCTTTTCCCTTCCCCCAAATAATTATCTGTTCCCTCCACCACTTGTCTTTGGATTCATTTATGCTTATCTTCCATTCATTCAACAAATATATAATGAGCACTTTTCTCCATGGTAATAAGGACTGGCATTAAAGTCCATGTTGTAGTTTAAAGCCTATGAGAGCTTCTCAGATTAGCCCTGTCTATCTTACAACTCCAGAAATTCAATTATCTTGCCCTCTTCTGCTGTCATCAGGTAAGCTCAGCTCTACACAATGACACAGGTGTGTCCTCTCCTCAGTCTCGGTCCCTGTCTGCCCTTGTCCCTGTCTCTGCCTATCTCTCTCTCTCTGTGTTTGTTTTTATTATAGCTCACTTTCTATAGACAGATGGTTCAGATGTAGACATTAGAGGGAAGGTGAGATAAACTGAACAGTGTAGGCCGCTTTGGTTAGTGATTATTTTGGACTAGCTGGTATGGTACAAAAGAGCCTCTTAAGTATTCTAATTTTCTGATTAGAATTTTGCCTTGGAGTTTAGGACTAAGTTCCAGCTATTAACAAAATATTGCTTAGTTTCTTTACCTGACAATGTTCTTGATATGAATTTCGCTAAAAGACATATTATCTGAAATCTAACGCAACTTTGGGTGTTGTGCTAAATTCCATCTATAAATGAGGATTGGATTCAATCTGTCATTTCTAACAAGTATGAAAACAATTCCCTTCTACACATCCCCATCATATACCACACTCCCCTGTATCTAAAATGTATTATTTTGACTCCCACCATAGGGTGAAAATTTAGCAGGATGTAGAACTCTAAACTCAATAGGGTTGTTTAATTTGTCTTCATTTTTTGAAAAAACATTTTTCATCTTTTCTGGTTTCTATGGATGCTTATGAAAATCAGCTGTTGGTCTTATTTCTTCTACTCTTGCAGATAGTCTCTTTATTTATGTTTTTATTTATTTATTTATTTATTTATTTATTTTCATAGCAGACTCCAAATTCTTCTCTGAAGTTTAGCCATGACACATTCAAATGAGATTTACTGTTCTATATCTTGCTTGAAAGATTCCTGTCTTTACTGTCTATACTGGAACATTCTTCTAAGCACTGCCCTCCTGCATGGTTTGCTACTCTCTCTCCTCATTTTCTCTATCCTTTTTCCAATTTCAAGTTTTTAACTCACTGTGCTGCCTCTGGGTAATTTCTTTACATCTGTCTTTCAATTTATCCATTTTCTAATCAGCTATACATAATCTGCTCTTTTTTCTAGCCACTGAGTATGTTTTCAAATGGTTTTTAATTTCTAGAAGTTTTATTTGGTACCTTTTGGAATCTATTTTGATAATGTTTTATATGTTTATGTTTTCAATCTTTTCTTTTAATGTCCTCTATCATCTAAAACATACTTATTGTATAATCTCTAAAAGATAGTCTTGTTATTTTAATAAGTTGTAGATTGACTTTTTGGTTTTTGTTGTGTTACTCACGTGTTTTACAATTTTGGGATGTAGTCTAATCTTCACCAACAGTTATAATGAAATCTCGTATCTCTGTATTTCTAGATATTTCTTTTTTTAGGGGGGGTTCCAGGGATCAAACTCTGGACCTTGTGCTTGTGAGGCAGGAGGCAGAACCACTGAGATAAATCCCTGACCCTAGATATTTCTAAAAGATTTTCATGTAATTTAATAAAAAATATGGCCAGAAACTAAATTTTTCCCTATTTTCTCTATGTAGTCAATTCAAAATATCACCCAAGCAGCCTGGTACATGTATGAATTTTAGCATAGACTATTTGAAACTGTGAATTAATGAAGGCTTTTTCTCTAGCTAGAGGCAGAAAATGTGTTTAACTCTACATGTGACCAGTGCTTAATAAATAAATTAATTAAAATTACACTGATAAGTTGCTGGCCTTTAATGGCTACCCTGTGTTTCTCTCTGGTAGTAAGAATTTTAGAGGGTTTTATCATTTAAAACATTTTAAACACATGATTGCATGATGACTCCAAAGTAACAGGGCTGCTTCCGCAAGCCACGCATGGGAATGGACATCAGTTCTTCCCTGTGGTTGCTTCTGACAAAGACTGAACAGCAAATCACTGAGTGCTAAAGCCCTGCTGCTGTGAGAGAAGGAGAGTCTAAGTCTAGTTCTTCTTTTAAAAAATAATTCCTAAATCTATCCTAAAGAAAGGTTAGTTTTCAAAGACTGCTGTGAAACTCAGACTCAGAAATAAAGATTACTAATCTCGGGTAAACAGACGAAGGTAACACAAGCCATGTGTGCCTGCTCCTCGTCGGAGTGACTCACAGTCAAACAAGTGGAATAAACACTTTCACCTCCGTGTGGCCGGCAGGGGACACAGCCCCATAACTTAGCCAGTAAGCAAACTGCTGTCGAATGATGTCCGTGCTCTGAAAGTGTTGAAAACAGGCAGGCGAAGTGACTGTGCCCTCCTCCCTGCCCGGGCTGTGGTGACAACGGGAGAGGAGACTGCACCACTGCACCGCCAACCACAGCTGCAGGGAAGCAAGGGAGCTCTGAAGCCATGGTCCCGGTCCAAGGTAGAAATGTTGCTCATGGTGTGAGTACAAAAGAACAAAATAAAAAGGGCCAGAGAGAAGCGAGATGAGCAACATACAGAGCTTTGAAAATCTCTCTGAGGCTTGATGTGAATAACTAGTGAGATAATTTAATAAAATCTGCTCATCTCAACTTCATTTCTGAGATCAAAAGGGATGAAATCCTGAGTCGAGGGTCTGGGCCGAATTCCTGTGCTAATTTTTTATCTCAGTGAGCCTTGGCAAGTCTCTAAAGCTGTTGTATCCACCCGGAAAATGGCAATAATAAAAATCCCAATCTCAGAGGATCGTTATTGTAGATAATGGAAACAATGGTGTAAATTAATGTGTAAATCAATAACATATCTGACTGAGTTGTAGCTCTCAAATATGAATGATATTTGAAAGTAAGTGTTCTATCAACAAGTTTTTAGACCATTACTATGAGCAAAACATCACTCCAGATCTTTGGATGACCTAAAAATAAATCACACTTACACCCTAGTCAGATTCTAGAGGCAGAGATGAGATGAAATTGTGAACTCCACGAGAGCTAGGACTTTGCCTGTTTAGTTCACCCCGACCTCCCCGAGGCCCAGAACGGGTTCTGGCAGAGTAGGCAGCCTCAAGTATTTGTTCTACGTCTGTGTCCCTTTCCCTTGGTAGATAGCGCTAAAAGTGAATAGGAGAAAATGCGGGTAAGAATGGGGCTGGGAGTCCAACCAGGGGAAGCGCTGAGCCACACTCAGGGCGATGAGGACTCAGCCCTGACAGCAGCCCCGCCCGGGATACTGTGGCGCTGTGTTTGCCTGACAGCAGAACAGGCCGCGGAATTGAGAACTGGACTCAGCCTGCCAGAGCCGTGAGCCAGCGCCTGTCCGCGCTCCAGTGCTCCGATGTGCAGGTCCCCTGCCCTTCTAGCCTGTCTCACCTGCTAACGCCTGGCGTCCTTTCCACAGCTCTGTGCAGAAGAGGAAACTGAGGTGGAGAGGCTTAGTAACACGCCCGAAGTCCAGGCTGGAGCCTCGGAGGCGGACCTGACCGTGGCAGGAGGCCCCGAGCCTGCAGTCTCGGCCACGGCAGCCTGCCCCAACTGGACCAGCCGGGGCTCAGGCCTGGTCCTGTGACCTTGGCTACCAGAGAACGCTTCCCTTGGAATCCGAACCCCGACCCCACGCCCAACCTCTGCCCGTCTTTCTCTGGCCCTTCTCCGGCACTTTCTGCGCAAGCCCAATTCCGCTCCTTGGACACCTTGCTGGGAGCGGGGAGGGCAGAGGGCAGAGGTGGGATGTCCCTTCCTCGGTTTCCCCGAGTGAGACCTGCTGGGCAGCGGGTGCTGGTGGCGAGAGGAGGGGAGTTTGCGGGCTGTCCTTCATGGAGAGGTGCCGCCTCCTCCTGGGGCTCGGTCCACCTGCAAGTGGGTGGGAAGCAGGGAGGAAGGAACCCTGGGCCGGCCCTGGGCGTCCCGACGGACCTGGCCGGGTTCAGGATCCGGATCTGTGGGCCACAGCTGGGACACCTGGCGGGGGCACCGCGGGCTGCGCCCGGCGCTCTGCTCTCCCCTCCAGCTCCGGGTCGGAACCGGATCCCGCTCCAGATGCCCCCGGCTCCTCCAGCCACTCTGCTGATGACGAAGCCAGAGCGCAGCCGGTGTCCGCGGCCCCGAGTCCATCTGTCAGGCGCTGCGCGGTCCGAAGAGGCCATCAGAGCCGCCTCCTGCCAGGGACTCGCCCAGGGGACAGACAGGCGGTGGGAGGCCCGGGACCCTACCCCGCCGGGTCCCAGCCCGCAGTCTGCAGAGTCCCGCCTGCTCCAGCAGGGGCAGCCAGGGAGGCGGGGGACGGAGGGCCCTGGAGGACCCAGGGAACCTGAGCGGGGCGGGGGGGGGGGTCCTCCCCTTGGACCTGGGGCTCTGGCAACCCGCTGTAGCTGCCCACGGACCTGCACGGGCCATCCCACCAGCCCCTCTGCCGTCCCTAGGGACTCTGCCTTTGGTTCCAGTCCACCCAGCTGCAGGACTTTCCTGCACGGGCCACAACTACACCCTGCCACCACGTGCACACGCACATCACACACGTTCACAATGTCCCCCAAAAGCAGCCTGTACCTCTAGGACTTCTACACACCCCACTAAACCCTGGCCTCTCAGTTACTTTTCTCACTGCTAAGACAAAATACCCAACACCCAGCGTCAGGGGAGGAGAGGTTTATTTAGCTCACAGCCGGTGGAGGCTTCAGTCCACAGCCGGTGGGGCAGGGCAGAGGGGTGGCAGCAGACAAGCTGTTTTGCCTTTCTCTCTGTCCCTCATATTCCTTCTGGGCTACAGGCCCTGAGTGGTGGCGCCCTTGACCCCAGCATCACACACCCTAGATCTAGCCACCCCCAAAAACCCACCTGTGACCATGTGAGGCTTTGGGGGACATCTAGATACAAGGTGTAACACCTGACAAGCCATAGACCTCTCTGAGGAGTTCATTGTTGCAAAAGGTTTGCATTTAAAAAGCATCTTTTGTTGCCAGGGCATGTGGTGCACATCTGTAATCCCAGCTTCTCCGAAGGCTGAGGCAGGAGGATCACAGGGTTTCAGGGAGCCTGGGCATTTGAGAAAGACCCTATCTCAAAATAAGAAAAAAGGAAGTAAAGAGGAATGGGGATGTACTCTGTGGCAGAGCACCCTTGGGTTCAATCTCCAGCACTAGGAAATAAATAAATAAAAGTCACTCTCTGGGAGTCAAGCGACCAGGATCACAGGGCTGGGTCTCCTAGCAGGGTGGAGCCACTGAGAAGCACAGATTCTGTACTAAAATACAGTGGGGTACATTTGTATTGGTTTGCTTAGTTGAGTTAGAGAATTTTTTTTGGTACCGGGGATTGAACTCAGGACCTTGTGTTTGCAAAGCAGGCGGTGGCACCACTGAGCTAAATCCCAGACAGAGAATGGCTTTTTGAGCAGTGTTTTTCACCTGTGATCCCATGGAGCATGTAAGCACCACTGGCCTGGAATGAGGGTTTCATGGGAACTTTGTTGTTTTTACATTGCTTATTTGCTACACACAGTGGTGGATCTGGGTGTCACAGTGCATGCCTATAACCCCAATACTCAGGAAACTGAGGTAGGAGGGTCCCAGGTTTAAGCTCAGCCTGGTTTACATAACAATTTCAGGTCCAGCCTGGGCTGTGAAGCCACACTCCATTTAAAAAACAAAAATTAAAATTTAGATAAAACAATCTCTGTGTAGAAGGCAGAGTAACCTGCCTTAGAAGCCTAGGGGGTTCTGAGAAGAAAGGGCCAAGAAGTATACCTGTTCAGCGTGGGACTTCTCCATGGAGAAGCTTAGGTGGGTGAGGTGGTCCAGGGATAGTGAAACTGCTCACAGGGAAAGGAGTGGCCAGTCCTGGGTCAGAGCCAGAGCTGTGCCTCAGCCACAAAGGGAAGTGGAGAAACAGGCAAAGACTCCTTTCTATAGCAGTGGGAAGACAGCGTGGAGGGACCTCAAGTAACTAAAACCACAACAACATGTGATTTGGTGATCCCACTTCTGGGTGTAGAACCAAAAGTTAATACCCTAGAGAGATGCCTGTACTCCAGGTTCATTACAGCATTGCACACAAGAGCCAAGATATGGAGCCACAGACCGATGGGCAAAGAAAGCAGGGTGCATATACACAGTGGAGCACCATTCAGCCTTCAAAAGGAAGGAAACCCTGCCAATTGCAGTGACAGAGATGGAGCTGGAGACTTGGAAAGTAAAATAAGCCAGGCTCAGAAGACGAGCACCGTGCCACATGATATCGATTATATGTGAGATTTTAAAAAGTCAAACTCACAGAAAAAGTCTAGAATAGTGGGTATCAGAAGCTGAGGGATGTGTTGATTGAAGGATACAAAATTTCATTCATATAGAAGGAATAAGATCAGGAGGCCTAGTATACATTAGGGTGACAATATTTTTAGCAGTATATTACATACTTAAAAATTTCTAAGAATGTAGCTTCTAAATGTTCTTGCCATATACACAAAAGGATAGCTATGTGAAATAATATATATGCTCAATAGCTAAACTTATTGCACAATGTATATATGTATCAAAACATGTTGTGTACACCATAAGTATATGTCAATTAAAAAAGAGACCAAGATTCATTTACTTCTGGCCACATCAAAGTTACTAGTCCCAAACAAAGTTTTATACTATAAATAACCATGAAACTAGAAAATTATGTGGGCTAATTGTTTAGGCATTGGACAATAGCCAGTGAAACACCAGGATTCCTAAGCAAAACAGGAAGCCCAAGTGTCCACCACACAACTGTGAGATGAGCTCTAGATGGAGGTGACTTGGGCAGAATCCAAGCAGATACAGTGTCAGACTAAGCAGATATAGAGTCAGGATAATAAAGTGCAGGGACCTGAGAATAGGCCATTGGAGAGTCTCGAGTTGTTGGAAAGCCCAAGTGAAGGATACAGTGAGTCTTTGGCTGAAGGCTGGGTCACATGTAAGTCCACAGGGAGAGACAAGCCAAGGCCTCCAGGGCAGCTGCTGTGGGATGGAGCTGTAATGGGATGTGCTCTTGCAGCCAGGGCAGAGAAGCTCTGTGAGTACTTCAGTCACATTCTAACTAGCTAAGGGGCTGAGAAAGCTAATGCTGGCAAGTTAGGACCACCCTCTAAAGCAAGCCCTATTCTATAGATGCTGTAAAGATGCTAGAAACTAAGAGCCTTGAAGGAGACAGAGTTTTCAGACTTTTGCCTGTCACAACCAAGTTAAAGGGGCTTAGGAAACACTCAGGGTCTTCACAGATCAGCCATAATAAAACATCAAACCACACCTGTGCAAGTCCATTGCAAAAAGCTGGTCATTGCAGCATCTACTGAAACTTCAGTGCATTTCAGATTCCCAGGAATGTCTCATTTACACAGTTGAGTATGCAATCACAAATATTGAGATATGCAAAAAGTAAATAAATAAAAGGAAAATGTGGCTGGCAATCAAAAAAAAAGCAAGCAACAGGAGTCTAACCTGAGATGGCCCCAATGTTAGAAATCTTAGACAAAAACTCAAATGATTACTACAAATAATGCCAAGGAAATAAAGGAAAATGTACTGAAAATATCTACAGAAAACATAGCATCTCTGAATGATGATGTAGGGAATAGCAATAAAAATGTAAACAGAACATAACCAAGTAAGATGTTTAAACTGAAATAACAAAGTTATTATTATGGCAAAAAAGCAGACTAGAAATGGCAGAAGAACAGAGAACAAGAGTTGAGGGAAAATACAGTTCAAGAACTTATGGAACATCTACGTGCATTTAAAATCCCAGAAAGAAATGAAGTAAAAACTTATCATTTCCCATATTTCCAAAAAAATGTCAACTTGCTGATCAAGACGCTTGACACACATCAAACAGAATAAGTGGAAAGAACCAAACCAAGAGTAAAGAGAAAAATCCTGAAAGTAACCAAAGAAGAATGACACTTTATAGATGGAATGATGACACGAAAGACAGCTGACTTTTAATCAGAAACAACATCAGCCAGAAGACAATGGAATGTCATCTTTGAAATAACAAAAGGGGACTCTATGATCAATACAGAATTCTAGAAGCAATTAAAATATCGATCAAAGGATGGTGAAATGATGACATTTTCAAATAGGCAGAAGCAGAAAGAACATATTACAAGAAGTACCAAAGGATTTTCTTCAGCTAAAGATAAATGGTTCCAGATAGAAACTAGAATCCACAGACATAAAGTACACAGAAATAGTAGATAAGTGTATTACTGTAACATAGTATGTTTCTTTTCTTCCTAAACTCTCTTTAAAAAACTGACAATTTAAAGTCAAACTAATAGAATTATAAGGCAAGTTTTATGATATGCATAAAAGTAACAGCTCTGGGTCTAAAATTCAAAATACTGACATCATCCAATTCTCTGGAGTGTGTAGAGCTACCACCACCCCCTCCATGTTGGTGATGGTTGTGTAAAATAGTACATCCTATTTATAAAACTGACAGTGACACATTTACCCATGACTCAGATGTAGAGTTTTAGGAACAGTGGTACCTCGGTTCATAAAAACTTTTGTTTCCAAAGAATTTG